GAGAATTGTTCTGATGCTATGTATTCTAATGCTAATCACAGGCCCCCAAGATCTGGTTGCCACCCAGATGAATGCATTCTCAATCTACAACAGTCTTTGTTGGGTAAACCTTGCTCTACCTAACTTAAAGTTGATAGGTTAATAAAGTTGCTGGAGCCTGTAACTGGGCAGATGAGAAGTAGGTGGAGCTTAGGTTCCCAGGCTTGGGGTCTCAGAGGGACCGCTAGGCTGGGAGGAAGGGAAAGAGGAAGCAGAAGATGTAGCCGGAAAATAGAGAAAGCCAGAGGGAAGGAAGCTGCCATGGGACAGTATGGACCATGAGCAGGTGGCCATGAGGACTGACCTGATAGAACAGAGGCATCCCAGACAGGAACTATTATGGCAAGTAACATGAGGTATACGGCTGGGAAACAGCAAAATAGCTTAGAGGGTTGATATCTGCCCAGTTACTGTGCTTTAAAAGGTCTCTGTCTGGATTGTTTGGGAACCAGCCAGATGAACCCATCTAGCGGTCTAATGTTCTTCCACAACAATCAACCATTTAGAGCAAAGATCACTCTTATTCTTATACAAGTGACTCTTGTACATGTAGAAAGCACAGCTTCAATCACCAGCACCATGGACAAAAACATCATTTGATTATGCATTGCTTAGCTTTTCAAGATTTATTTTATTTTTATTTTATGTGTATGTGTTTTGCCTGTATCTGTATGCACGTGCACCACATGTGTGCAGTACCGTCAGGGGCTAGAAGAGGATGCTGGGTCCCCTGGAACTGGAATAATAGTGGTTGTAAGCCATCATGTGGGTGCTAGAAGCTGAACCCGGTTCTCTGGAAGAGTCATAATTACTCTTAACCACTAAGCCCAGTTTTACATATATTAATACATCATTCCCATATCCTTTGTGATATCAGCTCACAAATGAGTTCTCAATTATTTTCTCTCTGTTTCATGTATCTGCTAATACTACTTTACACTGACAATAGCAATATTACTAAACCAAAAATAGTTGAAACCAGGAATGATGGCACTTGCCTTATCTCAGCACTCAAGAGGCAGAAGCAGGTGAATCTTTGCGAGCTCAAGTCCAGCCTGGTCTACAGAGTGATTTAAAACAGAGACCCTGGCTTAAAAAAACAAAACAAAACAAACAAAAAAAACTGAATTTTTTTCATATTTCTATAATTGCAAATTTGTAAATGAAATACTATTGTTATAATGGATCATCTCCAACCACACAACCTCCCAACATATATCACAACATTCAGACACATGAAAAGGATTAAGGCACAGCAAGATTTCTTTTTTATCAAGGACACATACACAGGACATATAGCTCTGGGATAGAGCATATTCCTAGTTACAAATAAGGCCCTGGGTTCAATCCCAAGCACTGCAATTGATCAATAAATACAGTAATAAGTTTACAAGGAAAGTGGAATCTTTCTGAGACTGCCTAACCAGTGGAACTGACACACTGTTACGCTAATGAGAAGAGCAACTCCAAAATACATGCATTCTCAGTTTTTTGTTTGTTTTGTTTTGGGTTTTTTTTGTTGTTGTTGTTTTGTTTTGTTTTGAGACAGGGTTTCTCTGTGTAGCCTTGGCTATGCTGGACTCTGTAGACCAGGCTAGCCTCCAACTCACAGAGATCTGCCTGCCTCTGCCTCCCAGAGCGCTGGGACCAAAGGCGAGTGCTACCACACCCAGCTGCACTCTGTTTTTTAAGCAACTTTTGGATACTGTTTCCAAGGTAACAAAGGTCTGCCCACCTAGAACACCATTATAACCTGTTGATTTCTAGTTCTAAAATAATTCCAGAAGCTGCATCTTAGCCTACATTTCTGGCCATCATTATCTATCCCTCTAAAGGTAGTAGAGTAGGTAGGTATTCAGCCCAGATTATTCCACTTAAAGCACTAGGTTGTAAAATTTCCGAATAATAACATGCCTGTTCAGTCTCGTCCATGACACTAGACATGGCAACTCGTGGGACACACAGGCAACAGTTCTGTTTTTCTATGAGAACAATTAAATCTGTAAATATTAGATGTCAATTCACACGCAACTGCTCCCATGAGGAAAATAAATTCCCTGAAACCTCAATAAAAATGCACAGACTTACCTACAGCACGGATGCCCTAAATCTGTGTTTGTATTCTAAATAATTAAATAAATACTCATTGGAAGCTGAGCATAATGACTCACACCTGTAATCCCAGCATTCAGAGAAATGAAGCAGGAAGAAGACCATGAATTCACAACCAGCTGGAGTCAGACTTTAAGATCCTGCCCGTCTCACAGAAGAAAGGAGAAATGAAGGAAGAGGAGGAAGAGAGAAAAAGTCCCAACACAATAGGCTCACACATATTACAACACTTGAGAGTCAGAAGCAAGAGGGTCACTGAAAGTTCAAAGCTGTCATGGTCTACACAGCAAGTTCCAAGAACCTATCTTAAACAAAACAAAAACCCTACTAACATCATTTCCACTTTCAGAATGAAGCATCATAAGTTTAAAATGCCAGATTTGCATTTCATCCAGAAAAACCTGCTAATTACCACTTTGTTCCAAATTCCAGGGAAGAACCAACAGTATTTCTTTCATTATTAGTTCCCCTGAATGCTAACCTAGAACAAGAAATAAAAATGTCTCAGTATATGTATAAAATTGCTCTAAATCTGGTGCTGGAGAGATGGCTCAGAGGTTAAGAACACTGGCTGTTCTTCCAACGATCCTGAGTGCAATTCCCAGCAACCACATGATGGCTCATAACCATCCATAGTGAGGTCTGGTGCTCTCTTCCGGTGCACAGGTACCCACGGTGGCAGAATGCTGGATAAATAATAAAGTAATAAATAAATAAATCTTTAAAAAAAAATGTGGTCTAGGTCATTCATGACTTGACCGTTCTCATTTAAAAAGGAGGATGTGGCAGCAAGATGGTCAGCATGAAAAGAGCTTACCACACAAGCCCAACTACCTGATTTGGTCTCCAGAGGCCCACATAAAGGTGTAAGGAGAGAACTGACTCCACAAAGTTGCCCCCTGTCTACACAAAATACACATACATACAATAAAAATAACAAGTTTATTTTTTAATTGGAGGTTTTAAAATTCCATTTAAAAACAAAAAACAGTATTGAACAGGAAAACCAGAAAGAATAGTATTTAGGAGCTGATGGTGTAAGAAGTGGAAGGGCACATTTTTTTAGCATGCATAATACCCCAGATAAATCCCCAAAACCAAACTAATTAAAGAATGTGTTTAACACTGGCAGTGGGGAGAAGCAGCTGAGCGGTCAAGATTGATGGCCAGAGTGTCTAGTTTACTATCTGGGTAACCTTTAGCAACGTTTTAAAATCTGTGCTCTATTTTCCTCTCCAATTCAATGGAAACAATAACAGTAAGTATCTCAAAATTGTTACAGATTAAATAATGTAAAGCAGTTAAAATCTGACCACTTCCATCAAACAGAAAATACCTAAAGTTTTAATAACACTGTTAAAGAAGCTATTGGAAACCAGGCCATTCCATACATTAATTATAACAAACCTCAGGAAGGACAATTTTTAAATCCCACCTTTGTAAATTCACCCATTGATATTCTTGTACAGGTGAGAGAAGACAGGCACACCTGTTCATATTTTGTACTAGGAATCTTCATGCCCATCAAACGATATTATTAAATCAAGGGCAAATTCATGGAACACTGTGTAGCACTATAAAATCAGGAAACTGATTCACTGATGTGAAACATCAAAGTGAAAAAAAGGCAAGACGGAAAACAATGTTACCTTTTGGGTGAAAGGAGACAGCAGGCGTTGTTGCTTGCTTTGGACTAAGAGAAACTTAACAGCGGCGAGACGGAAGTGGCAGATAAGGGACCAGAAAGGAGGGAATTTTTATTATAGATTATTTTGGCTTTTATAATTTATAATATATAAATATTAAAATGCTAAAAGTAAGGCAAAAAACTCCAGTTATAATTGCTAGCCCTGATTACTATTATTTGCAAGCTCCTACTATCTCCTTTCTGAATCGTTTTCTTAAGCTTCTCAGAAAGCTCATCTCCAGCCTCTGAGTCTTGATGACTATTTAAGGAATTTATCACGAAGGATTTTAGTGTAAGCGGATTACAACATGGGTGCACTGCACACATCCACGCGTTTGTCAAAGACGCCTGTGTGGAGTGTCTCCTTTTGGATGGACGGTCTCATGTTAATGATTAAGGCGCCCTTAACTAAACAAAACCCAGCATTTGATTCCTAAATCGCTCACTGATTTCCTCCTTCTTTTGGTGTGAAGAGTATTCTAGATGTGACAGCTCCGGGGCCCAGGAGCCCAATTCTCGGTCACTCCAGCACACCAAATACTCTGACAGCTCAACAGCCCCTTTTTATGCAAGCCCCTCCCTCCCCCTTCTTCCTCAACCCCCATTAGCTCCACAGCTAGGTCCCTCACACAGACACACAGACCTAGTTCAGATGCTTTTCCCCCAAGGGTCCTAACCTGCAGTTACAAGACCCTCTCCCCGACCCTCACCATCCTGTGACCCAATTCAGATCCCAAACCACTCCCTCCCAGTCAATCTAAATCACTTCTAAGGCTCCTCTCCCGGAGCCGGCCAGGCAGCTGCACACCTTTTCCCAACAAGTATACAACTGGCAGCCCCACACCAGATTCCTCCAAGAACCCGCTCCTCCTCCTCCCTGCCCTCTCGCCCTACGCACTGAATCCATTTTCCCCATCACTCGCCCACCTTGACCTCCTCGAATACTCCCAGCCTGGCTCCCCGCACATGCTCTCCTCTCCTCCCTATCCCCTTCCCACCAGTGACAGCTCAGCCACCTCCAACCCCTTGTGTCTGCGCCCTCCCCGGCACCCCCCTGCCTCCAAGCTCCCCGGGACGGATGAGGGTCGGCTCCCAGATTTCCCCACGGCCTCCCCCCGCAGGACCACACGGCCCGGGGTCGCCTCTCGGGGGCTCCACTCACCCACTCTCCCGCATCACGTTGCTGTCCCCGCAGTCGCAGGCGCCCCCGGCCTGGCTGCGGAACATGTTGAAGTCGTGTCCGGTGTGGTCGCCCTGGTGGAAGCACTCCGCGCACAGCGACATGCAGGGGGAGATGCCGCACGTCCGGCAGCGGTAGGCCACGAAGTTGGCCGTCCAGACCAGGCCGCAGAGCGCCGCGGGGTCGTAGGCCCGCACGGCCGCGCAGAACTCCTCGTAGCCGCCGCCGCCGGCCAGAAGGCACTTACACCACTCCAGGGCGTCCTCCTCGGCCGCGCCCGGGCCGCCGCCGCCGCCCGCCGCCTCCTCGCCGCCCGCAGCCCCGGCCAGCGGCCGCTCCGCGTTCAACACCCGCTCCAGCAGCGCCCGCAGCTCCTCGGCGCCCGCACGGTTGTCCGGCCGGCTGAGGGCGGCCTTCAGGTGCGCCGCGGTGGCCGCCTTGTCCAGCGCCGGGCCCTGCGCGGCCGCCTCCGGCTGGGGCGGCTGCGGGCCCCCGACGGCCGCCGCGGCCGCCGCCGCCGCCATGATGAGAGCTCAGAATTTGGAGAGTCCAGGGCCCGCGGCTCCTCCCGGGAGGGTGGGGGGGATCGACTGCTGCGATGGCTCGGCCCGCCCGACTCTCGCGATACCCGGCGCCGCACAGCACCTCGGCGCGCTCCCCGCCCCTGCGCACGCCCTCCCGGCCAGGCCCCGCCCCTCGCCGGCCCGGGGTCCGCCGCTGCGGTCCTCCCCTGCCTGTTGCCTCCCGACTTTGAAAACTGTCAGCTGCTGAACGCAGGAGCCCGGCGCACAGACGGTCGTTCATGAGAGTGTTCTTTTCTTTACTTGCCTGGAACATAGGAGTTACTACTCAACACCTACCAAACGTGTTTCAGGCATCCGCATCTGGTCTTCAGATGGTGATTCTTGTTATCAGAGTCTTAGTAACTACTCTACCCCTGCTATTATTGAAGCTGCCTCCCAAATATTTCCCCGAGTCAGGGAAACAATTTTTATCTTATGTGCGTTGGTGTTTTGCCTGCATGTATGTTCTGTGGCTGTCAGATATCAGAGTCACAGTTGTGAGCTGCCATGTGGTTGCTGGGAATTGAACCTGGGTCTTCTGGAAGAGTAGTCAGTGCTCTTAACCCCTGAGCCACCTCTAGGTGAATCTCCTAAGATAAACTCTTTTTATTATTATTATTTTATGTTATGGGTGTTAATCCTGTGGATGCCAGAAGAGGGCATCAGCGGAACTGGAGTTAGAGATGGCTGCGAGCCGCCAAGTGTTTGTGCTGGGAATTGAACTCCGCTCCTTTGGAAGAACATCCAGTGAGTGCTCCAGCCCCAATAAATTCTTTTAAAAAGTACAATACATTGTGTTTGTGGTTTTGTTTGGGTTTTTGTTTGGGTTTTTTGTTTGTTTGGTTGGTTTTTGTTTATAGAGACGGGGTTTCTCTGTGTAGCCTCAGATGGCCTGGAACACACTCTGTAGACTGGGCTGTCCCTGAACTCACAGAGATCCACTTGCCTCTGCCTCCAGAGTACCAGGATTAAAGGAGTGAGTCACCATCCGAATAAAATGTAAGATATATTCTTATTGTCCTTTTTAAATTACACTCTATTTATTTGAGTTGGTATTGTTTTTAAAAAGTGAAAATCCCAACCGTTCTGCTTTACCGATAAAGACTCAGGAGCCTGATGCTGTGGTGAAAACCTGCCAGCTCAGAGAGGCAGAGAAAGTGCCCAACTGACCTTCCTTCTCAGCTCAGGTCTGGATGGAAAAAACTCAAAAGGCTCACTAGTTCAGCTGACAGCCCAGGAGGGAAAGGCAAAAAACAAAAACAAAAAAACCCACCAAGGCCAAAGGCTTGCTAGCTCAAAGCCCAAAAAGCCAGAGAGCTGAGGAGCTGAAGCTAAAGCTAAAACCAGAGCTTAAGCTAAAAGCTCTTCCTCCACGCTGTCTTAAATACCCCTCAATTCAAAGTCCCTCCTACTCTTTCATCTCTGTCAGCGGGTTTCTTGCTCTGCCTCTTGACCTAGGGTTAACTTTATTAAATCCAGTGTACAGAAAGTTCTTGGATTAAAGGTGTTCAATAGGACTCAACCACACCAAACAAGAAACAGAGTTTCACAGTTCACAATTTTGGCGTTCACAATGGGATCAAATACCTTGCAACAAGTAGGAGCTCTCTAATAGTCACAGTCAGAGAGCAGCCTGTGGGAGTTGGTACTGTTTCCTTCCATCATGTGGTTTCTCAAGGACTCAAGTCATCAGGCTTGGCAGCAGGCAACTTTACTTGCTGAGCCATGCCCTTGGCCCTCCCCTTATCCTCTTACCCAAACTCTTTAGTGGAGAGAAAAACCAAGCACCTTAAATTGTCTCTTCAAAACCCACCAACATCACTATTTCTCACTGTCTGGAGCATAGAAAGACAGACAGACAGACAGACAGACAACCACTAGAATCTGATCACTGTTCCGTGAGAGTTTTTGGTTAATTTTGTTTCCTTGTTTCTTTGTTTTAAGACAACATCTCCTATAGCCCAGACTGGCCTCAAGCATTCTATGTAGCCTAGGGTAATCTTGAACTCCTACCTTTATCTCCCAGTGCTAGAATTACTGCACTATGCCTGGTTTATAGAAGGCCAGGAGTTGAACCCAGAGCGCCAATGCATGCTAGGTAAGCACTGTACCAACTGAGCCACATGCCCAGATCTCGTTTCCTTTAGCTGAAAGGGGATGAAACGATTGCTGGAGAGATGTGTCAATGGTTAAGAGCACTGACTTGGGTCTTTCCTGAGACTCATACTCCAACCAAGTACCATGCATGGAGATAACCTAGAACCTCTGCACAGATGTAGCCCATGGCAGTTCAGTGTCCAAGGGGATTCCATAGTAATGGGAACAGGGACTGCTTCTGACATGAACTGATTGACCTGCTCTTTGATCACCTCCCCCTGAGGGGGGAGCAGCCTTACCAGGCCACAGAGGAAGACAATGCAGCCACTCCTGATGAGACCTAACAGACTAGGATCAGGAGGAAGAAAAAGAAACCCTCCCCTACCAGTGGACTTGGGGCGGGGAGTGTGTGGAGAAGGGGGAGGAAGGGAAGGATTGGGAGGGGAGGAGGGAGGGAACTAGAGGGGGGATACAAAGTAAATAAAGTATAATTAAAAAATTTTTTAAAAGAATAAAAGAATTGGAAAGAAAAAAAAAGAGCACTGACTGCTCTTCCAGATGACCCAGGTTTGGTTCCCAGCACCCAGACAACTTACAACTGTCCTTAACTCCAATTTCAGGAAGCCCAATGCCCTCTTCTGGCCTGTGTGGACACCAGGCATGCAAGTGTTTGCAGGCAAACACCCATACATAAAAACTTTTTAAAAGAAAAATTAAAAGGTTCTGATTTGTTTGCTAACTATCTTGAGCAGAAAATCTTCATCCCACTGTGTTTACTCCTTGGTCATTTTTCTGGGGCTTTAGGTGTTGGAATGGGTTGTTTATTCTGAAACACTCTGTAACCCAGGCTACCTTCAAACCAGAGCCTCCTGCCTTAGTGCCAAGATTACAAGCTTGCCCACCACTCTGGCTGGTAAAGTTCTTGAGGGCAAAGAACCGGTGTTCCTTCTCACTGCTTGTAAGCACTCAAATATCTGTCTGATTATTGTTAAGTGGAAAATGTTACAATAGATAACACTGCCTGAGTTTCTGCTATGTTCAGCCCTTTCATATTATTTTTTTAACCTGCTCACCAAGCCTGATAAGTAAGTGATAGTAGAGGAAGCAAAATTTTAAATAATTCTCATGCTCAAAAATACAGCAGGCTGCACATCTGTTGTTTTTTTCCCCCCCATATCTAGCTTCAGCTGTCCCAGGGAACAACTGATAACCACCTGACAGACATTTGGTAAGCTAATTTGCTATATGAATAAGGCAAGGGGGAAATCTTTGGGGCCTTGATAGATACGGATAATAAAACTTTCCTGCGAATTTTTTTAAGGGATGGGAGTGGGAGGATTGGGCCCTGCAATGATATTAAATGATAACAACAAAGACAAAAATCCCAAGAACTACATTTGTACCTTCAAAATGTTTCGGAGACCAGTTTGCAGAGGAGTTAATGTAGGCCAAATTCTAAATGCACTGTCATTCTTTTCCCCAAAATATTCTAAAACATGAGCTGAGAAACTTACTAAAAATGCTCTGGTTTCAGTATTAAGCAAACGAGAGAACTGCAGAAAGTACAGACGCAAGGTCTTAAAGGAAAGAGGAAACGGAACCCCTGTCCATGCTGGCAGCTGATGGAACCCCAGCACTGGTGAAGGAAAGGCAGGAAGGCCAGGAGTTCGAGGTCATCCTCAGCTATTTAGGGAATTCAAGAACTTCCTGGGCTATCTAAGACCTTATCCCAAAGTCAAATTAAAAGATGAAGCCAGCACTCATCGTAAATAAGGAGCATCGTGTCTGCCACATGGCAGCTTATTCTGGTAGAAGATCACATTAAGACTTAACCCGCAGAGTTCATTGTTATTACACCTGTCCCACACGCCAGAGCATTCTTCACATAGCCTTACACTGCTCTTCTCCTGTCCTCATTTTCTGGAAGCAAGCAAGCAAGCAAACAGGTTATTATGTGGCCCACGGTGGGCGTGGATTTATGTAGGAGAGGATGATATTGAAGTCCTGATCTTTCTGCCTCTACTCCCAACTGCCGGATGAAGTCCAGGCTGATTCTGAATCCCATACATTGCCAAGGATGGCCCCAAGCTCCTACCGCTCCTGCCCCCACCTCTCTAATGCTGAGGTGCTGGGCTCTCACTGACTTTAGTTAGTGAGTATACTTACTTACTTAGTTTAGCTTTTCCATGTAGACCTGGCTATCCTGAAAGTTACTCTGTAGACCAGGCTGGCCTGGACCTCAGGCCCTGCACCATCACCATCCAGAAGTTACTGTGTATCTCCTTTCTTATTGTCAAGTTAGGGGTTGGCATCTCATTATAGTTTAATCTGTATTTCTTTAATAATTAATCAAGTGAGTATCTTTTTGTATGTTTAATGAGTATTTATGTATGCCTCTTCTTTTATAAAACATTAGTAGATTTTTGGTCCATTTTTAAGAGCACTGGCTGTTCTTCCAAAGGTCCAGATTTCAGTTCCTAGCAACTGCACAGTGGCTCAGAACCATCTATAGTGAGATCTGGTGCCCTCTTCTGCTGCACAGGCACACATGCAGGCAGAATGATGCATGATAGATAGATAGATAGATAGATAGATAGATAGATAGATAGATAGATAGATAGATCTCTTTAAAAAACTAAGAAGCAGGGCTGGAGAAATGGCTCAGTGGTTAAGAGCACTGTCTGCTCTTCCAAAGGTCATGAGTTCAATTACCAACAACCACATGGTGGTTCACAACCATCTATCATGTGAACTGATTCCCTCTTCTGGCAGGTGTAAATGCAGATAGAACACTCATATACATAAAATAAATAAATCTTAAAAATAAAAAGAAAAGCTTTAAAAAAAAACAAAACTAAGAAACAGAATTATTTTTTCCAGAACCTAATCCACTACCTTACTAATTCTAAATATTCACTATATGAATAACTATCAACCAATTCTTAAAGTAAGATTAGCAGACCTTATTGGAACCAGAAGGTACATTTAAGGAGTCCACAAAAATCAAGATTATTTTCATAATAATATTAAAATGTGCATTTTTTTTTTTAGAAAATGTTTGGCATTTATTTCTTTAAGTTCCAGATACTCTAAAGAGATGCTATTGACTGTTCTTGAACTTTTTGAATGTTTATTTTTGGTTTCTCCAAGTACATAGTGAACTGTCTAGAGGATTATCTAAAGTAGATGCTGGAATTATAGAGATGGCTTAGTGGTTAAGAGCACAAGCTGCTCTTCCAAAGGACCCAAGTTCAATTCCCAGTCACCCACACAGTGATTTACAGCTCCTGTTCCAGAGAATCTAATGCCTTCTTCTGACCTCAGTAGATCCCAGGCATGAACATGGTACAGAAACATACATACAGGCACATCACCCATACACATAAAAATAAACATTTTCTAAAAAGCAGATGCATTGTGACAGTGTCTATTCCACACAAGTGAACGTATTTTCCTAATCCATCAACTAAAGCAACGGGTGTGGCGAACACTGGTAGTCTCAGCACACAGGAAGCGGGGGCAGGAGGGCTGCCAGAGATCTGAGCTGGTTTGACCTACATAGTTCCAGGCCAGTCACAGCTACCTAGCAAGTTTCCCTTTTTAAAATTAGAAACAAATAAAAGAGCACCTTAAGGTTTAATCCACCCCTCCATCTTTTTTTTTTTCAAGATAGGCTTTCTCTGTGTAACAGCTCTGGCTGTCCTGGAACTCGCTCTGAGGACTCGGCTGGCCTGGAACTCACAGGGATCCACCTGACTCTGCCTCCCTGAGTGCTGGGAATAAAGGCTTGTACCACTACGCCCGGCTAAGGTTTAATCCCTTTTATCAATGATCTGCATAGATCAAATGATATCATTTCTACTTCTTTCCTTTTTTTTTAAGTTTTGACAATACAAAACCTTCTGGACTAGAGGGACGGCTCAGCGGGTAAAGGCATTTGACACGAAACCTAAGGACCTGAGTTCAACCGCGAGAGGTAACAAGGTGGAAAGCGAAGTGACTCCTAGAGGTTGTACTCCACACAGTGCGCGTGTGTGGCGGTCAGCACGCATGTATGTACACATACACTAAGTAAAAGAAAAACAGCCTCCTCCATAATTAACTCCTTACCACCACAATGTTCATTCTATTGTCAGTAATCCACCGGACATTTATCTCCCTCTGCCATACTGGAGTCACCCACTATTCTAGCCTGGAACTCCCTCTGTAGACCAGGCTGGCCTTGAACTCACAGAGATCTGCCTTCCTCTGCCTCCCAAGTGCTGGGATTAAAGGCATACACCACCACCACCTATTTGGTTTTTAAAATAGAAAAGAGTTAGTCAGGCAATGGTGGTACACGCGTTTAATCTCAGCACGTGGGGGAGGGAGGCAGGTAGATCTCTGAGTTTGAGGCCAGCCTGGTCTACAAAATGAGTTCTCCAGGACAGCCAGGGCTATACAGAGAAACTCTGTCTTGAAAAAAAAAAAAAAAAGAGGTTGACTTCAATCTCTCGTGGACTAATGGTTCTTGAATATCTAGTTTCAATCATTTTTTCCTATCAACAACACCATCAGCAACTAACATTTATGAGACATTTGTTGTAAGAAAAATAGCTTAACTGTACTAGCTCAATGTGCTAAAGATTTTATATACAGTAACTCTTTTCATTTTTTTAACTGTATACTTTGCAAGAAAATAATCTTAGATACATTCTCAACTGCATCAGCCCTTTACTCTTTTTTTTTAATAATGAAAATAGATATCATCCCACCTACTAAGGGGCAACCTGGCATGTAAGTACTAGATCCTGACTCCTCAGGATTGTGATTGTGCCAGGTATGGTGACACACACCTTTAATTCTAGCACTCTGAAGCACAGGTCAGCCTAGGCCAGAGAGGGCATCTGATCCCCTACAGCTGCAGTTACAGAAGGTCTGGAAGAGCAGAGTGCTCTTAAAGGTCGGCCCAGCCATTTCTCCAGCTCTCTTTTCTTTCTAAATTTTACTTTATTTATTGTTTTCTATGTGGGGACAACGGGAAGATGACTTTCAGGAGTCTGGTCTCTCTTTTCACTGTGGGTTACAGGGATTGAACTATGTTTGACTCCTGAGCCATCTTGCCAGCTGTAGCCTTGACTGGCCTAGAACTCTCTCATGGACCAGACTGGCTTTGAACTCAGAGATTCACTTGCCATTACTTCTTCAGGATATCCTACAAAGGGAAGCCGCCACCACCTCCATTTTTGCATTTTAAGCACTTCGCTGTTTTCTACATTTTGTTTATTATTAGAAATTTCTTATTAGTCTCCTCATATCTTGAGGATGGTGGTGATGATAATTATAGTAATGATGACAGTGGTGGTGGGATTGGGAATGCAGTTCAGTGGTCAACTTGCCAAGCATGCACAAAGCCCTGGGTTCAAATAAATAAAATACGACTAACAACGACAATAATAAAGCCTTCCAACCTTACTAAGCATCGATCACCTTCACTCTTCTTTTCATAATTACATTTTTTAAGTTTGCTGCTAAGTGCCTACTTCCATTTTCTCCACAATCCTCAACTTCTGCTCACAGTTTAACAAGTCCCAGAGTGTCTCTCATTTGACCTCACAACCATATTCTCTGTTCTTTGTGTCGGCCTGGAACTCAAGAGACCCATCCCGAAAACTGTTTTGACGTTTCTTCTTCTGGCTTCGTTGACTTCAGTAACTGTTAAGAAACACGATGCCCACCCCCCCTGGGGGGGGCGAAGACACGAAGTTAAGGCCGAGCATTCGAACGGAGGAAGCAGAGGTGGGTGTAGATCGCTACTTTCTGAGACTTGGGTCTCACTAGCCTGGTGCCCTATGTCGCCGTCAACTATTTCCCCCATCCTTTCCAGGGCTATGGTACTCAAGACAAAGCTGGCGTTCCCAGGGTTGGTCCAAGGCTGGCTTGCGACGGCCTTCGAGGACCGCTTCATCCGATGGCGCCCATGCGGACTAAAACAACACTCGTGTCCTCGGCGGAACCCTGGCGATCTACACAGGTTGCAGCCCGGCGCCCGGCAGTGAGCGCGCGTGCGCATCGGCACTTCCGGTGCGGCGGGGCTAGCCCGCGAGGGTCGACTAGCCACCTCGGCGTGCGTTCCGGACTCTCCTAGGTGCCCCGGGCGGGCGGTAGGCCACGCGGGGCTTGTGGGGCGTCCCTCGCTGAATCCTAAATAGTCTGCCCCGCCCACCTCTGCACCGCTGGACAGTTTCGGGTTAGGCAGACATTCCGGCAGGCCCTGTGCTATGAAGTCCTGGGAGCCCAAACTTTAAAATAAAGTGAAAACGATGAAGAAGTTAAGGCTTAAGGAACTGGAGAGTCGCCTGCAAGAAGTGGATGGATTCGAAAAGCCCAAGTTACTTCTAGAACAGTATCCCACCAGGCCGCACATTGCAGGTAGGGCGGCTGGTTCATCGTGCCCTCTTCTAGAGTTATTCCTGTCCAGTTCATGATGAAAATAAGTATTAATTTGGATATAACGATGTTGTAGAGAAATCCTACACTTTTAAGTAGGTTTTTGACATGGCGACATACAGACACGCCTAACCCGATCACACACTTTTTACTGTTTTTCTGAGTGCCCATTAGCATTGTCACAGTTTTTTTGTTGTTGTTGTTTTCACTCATCACTGTAAATTCTCAGGAGCAAGAAATCTGTTAGCCTTGTTCACACCTGAATTTTAAGTGTCTGAAGAGTCTTGGTACCAGTTAGGAGCTCACTAAATATTTGCTTAATATAGGTAAATTTCGTACTGAGGGCTGGAGAGATGGCTCAGTGGTTAAGAGCATTGTCTGCTCTTCCAAATGGACCAGGGTTCAATTCCCAGCACCCACATAGTACCCAACTGTCTGTACCACCAATTCCAAGGAATCTGACATCTTCACACATAAAATAAAAATAAACTATTAAAAAAAATTTCGTACTGAATCAAGGACAGCGATTCCTGTTGTGCCTCTGTGCCCTAGAAACAGGTGCTAGAACCAGAGTTACATGCTTGTGGAAAGTTGAAGATGTTTTTCATTTTTAACAAACTGCGTCTCTCACCAACTAATTACCCTCACTTTCCTACCAACTGAGAGGGTAGGAAGAAATACAGCAGAAGCCAGTCATATGTCACATCTGTTACCAGAGTAGCAGGGAAGACTTAGCCAAATTCCTTTGGTTGGGAATCTTTTTCAGTTCCAAAATAACTGTTTGTAAGCTGCCAATAAAACTCATAGATTACAGTTTTAACTCTAAAATAGTGTCATATCACCAGCCAAAGAATTACATTGAATTGTGTCCAGATTAAGGCCAGTTTCCTCTATTATGGATTTAACATGTGTAGGTTCGTGTCTGCACGTGTGGAGGGCAGAGGTCAACATCAGGTGTTTTAGAGCCACGATCTTAATGTATTTGCTTACCCATTCGCCTAAACTGGCTGACCAGCAAGCCTCAGAGATCCTCCTGTCATGTCCCTAGCTCTGGGTTTCTTTTTTTTTTAAATGAGTTTTAATGAAGAGATATTTTTTAAAGATTTATTTATTTTATGTATATGAGTGTTCTATCTGCATTTACACCTGCCAGAAAGGGGAATCAGTTCACATGATAGATGGTTTTGAGCCACCATGTGGTTGCTGGGAATTGAACTCATGACCTTTGGAAGAGCAGACAGTGCTCTTAACCACTGAGCCATTTCTCCAGCCCAGCTCTGAGTTTCTAATCATGCACCCCACACAGCCTTTTACATTGCTGCTGGGGATCTGAACTCAGGTCTTAATGCTTGCAGAGGAATTACAGTACAGACTGAGCCAGCTACTTGCCAAAAAGTTCCTGGTTTTCTCAGTGTGACTTTGTACAGCCTTCTGGTTGTAGGGTTTTATAATGAAATCTAATTTTTAAAAGATAAAAATTAGGGGCCAGGTGTGCTGGAACACAGCCTTAATCCCAGCACTTGGAAGGCAGAGGCAGGTGGATCATTGTGAACTCAAGCCCATCCTGGACCATATAGCCAGGCCAGCTAGGGTTATATGATGAGACACTGTCTCAAAAGAAATAAGAATCAATTCTTTCACACCTGGTTTGTAATGTGCACATAAGAGTTTTTAGATTTATTTTATGTGTTTTTCCTGCATGTATGTATGTGTAGCACATATGTGCATGGTGCTTGTGGAGTTCAGAAGAGGGCAGTGGAGTTAGAGGTAGTTGGAAACTGACATGTCGGTGCTGGGAATCAAACCCAGTGCTCTTACCGAGTGGACCAACTCTCCAGCCCTGCAGGACTGTTTGTTGTTTGTTATAAATCAATGTTCTGAGTCCTCAGACATTAAGTGATGGGCAGCAGTCCTTCTTGGGTTCAGATATGCACTAGGAAAACTTGGTGGTGTTACTCCTTGTTTAACATGTGTATGTGAGAGTCTTGTTTTTTAGAACTCTGTAATCTCAGCTGCTTCTGCCCTGACCATTTGTTCTGTTATCAAGTCTCTGTTGTAGATTATGAATATGTTTGGATGGGGAGATGGCTCAGAGGTTAGGAGCACTGGCTGCTCTTCCAGAGGACTTGGGTTCAATTCTCAACACCCACATGGTAGCTCAGAGTCAGTACCCATGAGGTATCCATACCCTCTTCTGGCCTCTGTGGCACCAGACACATGGTGCAAATCCATGCAGGCAAAGCATAAAAATAATAAATAATACACATAAAAATAAATTTTAAAAATATCTCTAAGTCTATATTATGGATGTAGAAGTTTGTGATACTGTATTCTAATGATAAACATACTGCAAATAAGTTCTGTGTCCTCTTAGTTTTTAAACTACAGATACTTATTTATCTATTTATTTGTGGGGTGTTGTACAAGTCTCAGCCCTCAGTCGGAGGTCTGAGGAAAACTTGTGGCAGATGCTTATTTTATTTCCAACGTATGGGTTTTGGAGATTGAACTCTAACAAGGCTTGTCTTCAAGCACTTTTACCCTCTGAGAGCCATGTAGCCCAGATCAGTAAAATTTCAAAACAGTTTTGTAGATGCAATAGGTTACTAAACTTATATTTTGGCCTAGTATGACATTATTATTTGTTCATAGAACTTAATCTCTCATTAAAAAAAAAAAAAAAACCTAAACCTCAGCATCAAAGGAGAAGCTGCATCCATATATCGTTGTTGAGCACTTGTTTTGAACGTTTTGGCAGTGTTGGCAATATCAGCAGAAACGAGACATACTAGTCCCCCAGTATTTGGGAATTACTGCTGTATGTTATCCTTTTGTGGTGCCTCTTCCAAGATACCAAGTTATTACACTGAATCTTTAAAAAGACAAACTGGGAAATAAATAATCTGGAGCTCCATGTGGGGATAAAGCAGATTATTTTAGAGCCCTTTGCATTAGATTTTAATAAGCTTGCTAACTTATGTTCTTCTGTTTGTTTTTTTAGCATGCATGCTCTATACAATCCATAACACATATGATGACATTGAAAATAAAGTGGTTGCAGATCTCGGATGTGGTTGTGGAGTGCTTAGCATCGGGGCTGCAATGTTAGGAGCAGGGTAAGTGATCATTTTTAACTATTTGGATATGGCCTGGCTTGTAAGTGTCGGATCAGCTCTAATCATGGGACTCTACGGGTAGGACAAGGGGGAACAATACTTTAATAGAGTACCCTTTGAACAGGCTGAAGACCAAAAGCTTTACTTATAAGAAAGAAATCAAAATTTTGGTAACAGCAAGTATCCCCTTATGCAAACCTAAGTTTCCAATCTCTGCCAGGCTGGGAATTCATGCAATTGAAAACAACTCTCAATTTTACTTTGGAGTTGGGTTGAAAAATACACGGTAAAATGTCTACTATTGTTTTTTACTAGGAACCTGTAAATTGTCTTTTTATATTTATAGGTTGTGTGTTGGATTTGACGTAGATGAAGATGCACTGGAAATATTTAATAGGAATGTGGAAGAGTTTGAGTTAACAAATGTTGATATGATTCAGTGTGATGTGTACGCATTATCTAACAGAATGTCCAAGTTATTTGATACAGTAATTATGAATCCTCCCTTTGGGACCAAAAATAATAAAGGTTAGTAATAAAAGTGCAGTATATTAATATATCTCTAAAGCAATAATCCACGTTGTCATTTTTATTACTACTGCTCATTAAGTCAAAAATCACATTTATACTTAGAATTCACATGATGTACAATTGGGAAATTTAATATTTTCACAGATTTGTGTTATTATACTTTTATAATTTCTGATTAGTAATTGGAATGATCTGACTAGCACCCATGCTTATGAAATTTTTAAAAATTTATTTAATTTTTATTTGAGGTGCATTAGTGTGAAGGTGTCAGATGCCTTGGAATTGGCTTTACAGACACTGGTGAGCTGGGAACTGAACCCGGGTCCTTTGGAAGAGCAGACAGCACTCACAACCACCGAGCCATCTCTCCAGGCCTGCTTATCCAATTTTTAAAGCATTTTCTCTTTTAGAACCTGAATTTTTCATTTTGTTATTTCCTTGGGGGAACCCCAGGGACTGAAACTGGATCTCACACATGTTGAGCACATGCTCTCAGCTTCTAAAATTTGTTAATGCCTGAGGGTTCCAACATATGTCCACAGGGGCTTACTGTGATGATTTTTGTGTGTACTACGGGCAAGCTAGGAAGGGGGAAACCATGCAGTTTAAAGTGGTTACTTTGTATTCTCCTTTCTAAGTCACTTAGAATATTAAAGTTAGCCCTATTTTTTTTTTTTTTAACCAGCCTAATTTTGATTTCATCAGGGTTGTTTTTTAATTTTTATTTGAGATGGGTCTCACTATGTAGACCTGGCTACCTTCAAACTCAGAGATCCTGCATCCTCTGCCTTCGGAGTGCTGGAATGAAAGGTGTGTGCCACCCCACCTAGCTTACACTTTATTTTTACTTTGTATGTAGGTGCACATGTCTTTGCATCACATATGTGCAGTACCCAAAGAGGCAAGGACACTGGATGCCCTGAACTGGAGTTACAGTGAGCACCAGGTGTTTGCTAAGAATCAAGCTTTGGTCTCTAGAACAATCAGGCATTTAAGCACTGAATCTCTGCAGCCTATGGTGTTATTTTTTAGAATTATTCTATCTATGAGAGTAGCCTGTTTCTAACTTTGTGCCTAAGGTGGTCAGGAGTCAGATACCTGGAACTTGGGATCTGGAATTACGGATAGTTAGGAGCCACCTATGGGTGCTGGACCCTAGCTCAAGGACTCTGGAAGAACAAAAAGTGCTCTTAACTGCTGATAGTTCCAGCTCCAGCCATTGTTTTATCAGAATATTTTATTTGTACCCTTATTTTTGGTTATTTTTGTTTTGTTTGACAGGGTTTCTCTGTGTAGCCCTGGCTATCCAGAACCTCACTCTGTAGACTAGATTAATGTGCCTCTTAGAGGCTCCCTTGTGCTACCACCTTTGTAACTGGCTTATTTGTACCCTTTTTGAAGAAGTGATTTTAAGTAGAAATTTTGGAATTTGGAAAAATGCTACTTAATCCTGTTCATTTAATCTTCTCTGCTAAGAAATACATAATATAAACAGGAATTTTCTTTTTTACTCTTACAGGGACAGATATGATTTTTCTGAAGACTGCATTGGGAATGGCAAGAACAGCAGTATATTCTTTGCACAAATCATCAACTAGAGAAGTAAGCCTAAACAACACTATTTTAGCTGCACAATAGTGGCCCACAGTTTTAATCCCAGCACTCAGGAGGCACAGGCAAGCAGATCTTTGACTTCGAGGATAGCCAGGGATACACAGAGAACCTGTCTTGGAAAAACAACAACCAAAATCTGTTTTTATTTTGCTTTTTATTACTTTTATTTACTGATTGATTTCCATGTATGTGTGTGAGCATGCATGTGTCAGGGCATACATGTGGAGAACAGAAATCAACCTTTAGCAATCAGTTCTCTTTACCATGAGGAGCTCAGGGACCAAACTCAGACCCATCAGGCTTGGCAGCAAGTGACCTTTACTCACTGAGCCATTTCACAGGCCCAGGATTGATCTTTTTGTTTTGTTTGTTCAGACAGGGTTTCTATGGCTGTCCTGGTTTTGCTTTGTAGACCAAGCTACAAAGAAGTAAAAGAGATCCACCTGCCTCTGCCTCCCCAAGTACTGGAATTACAGATATGTCCCCCCACATCTCCTGTGCCTCCCTCCCCCACAGCTCCCAAGGGTTGATTTTTAAAAACATGGCCTAAAGAATATTAGGTCTGAGTTTAGAACTACGTGTCCTAGGCTGGTGAAATGGCTCAGTAGGCAAGGTACTTGGCTTGCTGCCAAGACTACCCAAACTGGATCTCTAGAACCCACCCGTGTTCTGTGGAACATTCAGCCACGTCATACAAATTATGTTAAAAAAAAGAAAAAAAAAACTTTATTATTCCTTCTGCCAGCATGTAGCACATATACCATAAAAAGATGTATTTCAGAACACTATGATAAGCTAATATTTGACTCTAGACCCAGCTCATTCTGGATGAACACTATAAACTATACTGCTTCTTAGCTCCTCTATCTGGTCAAGGTGCCATCTATACTATATGAGCATGTATTCTTAGGAACTAAGAATAAGCTAAGCTGGGAGCAGTGGCGCATGCCTATAATCTCAGCACTCAGGGAGGCAGGGGCAGGTAGATCTGTGTGAGTTCAAGCCCAGCCTGTTCTACAAAGCGAGTCCAGGACAGCCAAGGCTACGCAAAGAAACCCTGTCTCGAGAAAAAAAAAAAGAAAGAAAGAAAAAAGGCTATACTTCATATACTTTTCTGGATTAAATGACTGTGTATCTCAAGACTTCATTTTGTTAATTTTATATGTATAAGGAATATTTTGCCTATATGTGTTCAAATGTATGCCTGGTTGCCCAAGGAGATCAGAAGTCATCAGATCCCCAGGACTGGATTTACAGATAGTGTGTGCTGGGAATTTAACCCAGGTCCTCTGAAGAACAGCCAAGTACTTTTAATTGCTGAGCCATCTTTCTACTCTCCTTGTCTTTACACTCTTGGCTCAAAAGACAGCAAATGAGAAGTACACCAAGTATCTATCTGATCTCTACATGCCATGTACAAACACATGCATACACAGCAAAAAGAAAAAAGCAAATCAAAGGAATCAGTTTGGGTATATGGGAATTTAAAAGCCCCTTTAAAAGTATAAAATTGCTTGCTGGTTCATACCTATAATTACAGCACTTGGGAGGTGAATGCAAGATGATAAATTTAAGATCACCTTCAATTACAAAGGATGTTTAAGGCCAGTCTTGTATATATCAGACTACCTGGATTTAAGCCTCATCATAGCATAAAACAGATATGCTGGTACACACTTAAAATTCCAGAGCTCAGGAAGTAAAGGCGGTAGTATCAAAAGCTCAAGGTAGGTCCTCCTCTGCTTCAAAAGGAGTTTCAAGGCAGCCTGAGATACATGATATACCCTGTCTCAAAAAAATAAGAAAGTAAGTATGTTAACAAAGTGACTCAGCCAGTGAAGGTGCATGCCACCAAGCCTGTCCACCTGAATTCAATTCCTGAATTGTTCTGTTGCTGTGATGACATTTACAGTTCCACTTACAGTCCATTATAACAGGAAGTCAAGGTAGGAACTTCCTGCTTAGGTTAATAAGCAGGAAGAAAAAAAAGCATGCATGCTTGTGAGTTCTCAGCTTGTTCTCTACAGTTTTACCAGTTCAGGAGGAAACCCAGGCAATGGTGATGCCCAAAATGGGCTTTGTCTTTCTTCTCACATTAATTAACATGCAAAACAACAACAAAAAACACTTGTTGCTTTGTTTGGAGGACATAGGTTCAATTCCCAGCACCTAGATGGTAGCTCTCAACCATCCATGACTGCTGTTCCAGGGAATTTGATGCCTTTTCCTGACCTAGGACACCAGAATACACATGGTGCAAAGATATACATACAGGCAAAACACAGACATAAAATAAAGTGTCTGGGCAAATAAAATAACCCTTCACTGACATTCTCTTACATAGGGATTCTAGATATCAGATTGACAGTTAAAATTAACCATCATTGTGTTGGAGAGGTGACTCAGTGGTTAAGAGTACTTGCTGTGTTTTCGGTCGATCTGAATTTAGTTTGTACTCCAGCTCCAGTGGATCTGATGCCTCTAGCCTCCAAACAAACCTGCACTCAACATTCATATACTCACCTGTACATACAACACACACACACACACCTAAAATAATAAAATGACTAGAGAGATGGCTCAATGGTTCTTAACACTAGTTGCTTTTGCAGAGAACTCAGGTTCAATTCCTAGTGCCCACTTGATGACTCACTCACGACAGTTGCAGGAGATGCAATGCCCTCTTTGGCCTCTGAGGGCACTAGGCACATGTTGCACAAAGACAAATATTAAAATAAATACAATTTAGTTATGTTTATCTTTGCTGATTGTCATTGCCAGTACACCTGAGGGTGGTGGGCAGAATTATCAGCATTACTTTGTCAGATTTTATTGTTTCTTTTTCACTTAGAACAAAAATAATTTCATTAGAAAAGAAACGAATTTAAGTGATTGATGTGGTGAGCACTGTGTACACTGGGAAGGACGAGTAAGTTTTCTTCAGATATTAAGCAGTCCTTTAGTGTATGCTACAGATACACCTGTCATAAAGCTTGTAACTTCCCTTCAGTATTACTTAGAACAAACACTGTTCTGGTGAACCTAGACTGTTGTAATGAAGTACTTGACTTGCTATTCTTAGTATACATACATTTGATGTAATTTTGATAAGTTTAAAGATCTAATTTTTTTACCTCATGCAGCAAGGAAAGAATTTGGTTCTCTGCTCAGACATTCTGGGACTGCTCTTCTGGTGTTTTATCCCACTTAACCCATCATTCCTTTGCATCATATACTGTTACAGAAATCTCACCATCCTTAACACTCAATGAATGTCACTACCTGTTTCTCAAAGATTTGTCAAGGATCCTAAAATTCCATGAAATTTTTAGTGCCATTTATAAAAAACTGTTTTAAGGTTTTATGTATCTGTATGGAAGGGAGAGGAGAGCACTGCAGAAGAGCACACTTCAGTGTCCTCCTTACGAGCAAGAGCTCTCTATAAACTTGTAAGCCAATAAGCCTCAGCAATCCTCTTTTTGTCTTCTAGGAACTGAAGTTAGAAGCATTTATGGTAACTCCAGTCCTCATGATACAGCAAATGCACCTAGCTACTAAGTCCCTACACTTTTGATTGTCAGAGGAAGGAAATAACCCAGAACTCATTTATGTGCGTGCTTGTGGGTGTGTGCCTGTGTGTATACTGGAAGACAATACATGACACCAATAGGCAAAAGGTTATATAGTATCTGAAATTTGAGCCAAAAGATTGGGGGAAACATTTTATCAATTTGATGACAATTAAAGATGACTCCCACTGTAGCCAACATGATTGTAATAAGAAATTTTAACATCTCTCAGCATTCTAAGAGTATCACACGTATATAAATTAATATATTTGGTGCTGTGTAAGAACACTGTTCAGAACGTTAAAATGAGGTAGGCCCAGAATGATTTAGCATGGGCTACTTTACTTAGATGCTAAATAGTATGCCTGCGGTTCCAAAGGCCGTGGTTCCAGACCATGCGCTTCTCTACCATCCCACCACTGAACCGCCTGTTGATACAGCTCTGTCAAATATTCCCAGGATAGCTGTTATTCACAAATGAAATAAAGCTACACTGTTGATCTAAACATCAACTCATATGAAAATATATTTGTTTTAGCATATTCAGAAGAAAGCTACAGAATGGAAAGTCAAGATAGAAATTATTGCAGGTAAGCTAAATCTCAACCTTAGTTACTTAAAAGGCCAATAGGCCAGCCTAAGTTTTTAAAGTACTGAAAAAACACTATGGAATGTTTATCCAGTTTGGTGGTGAACACTTACCAAGGTTTGCCTGTTTATGTATTTTCTTGTAGGCTGGCCAGGAACTCACAGACCTTTGCCTGCCTCTGCCTCCTAAGTGCTGGAATTAAAGGCCTGTACTCCCATAACACCCCCATCTCTGCTCTGCGTTTCTTGAAAGATGTAATGGTGGGGCTGGTGAGATGGTTCAGTGATAAAGAACACTGGCTGTTTCTTTCAGAGATCCCGAGTTCAATTGCCAAGCAACAACAAGGTGCTTCATGACCATCTGGTGCCCCTTCTGGCATGGTGGACATGCAGACCAGACGCTCAATACATGAGAAAGAAAGGGAAAAAAGACATAAGTAACTAAATTTAAAAAAAAAAAAAAAGGTCATGGCACCTGGGTATTTAGTCATACCAATCATACCAGGCTGTGGCAAAAGACTACTATCCTCAATGAGTGAAAACATGGGCTTGAACATAGGAGAACTGGACTGGTATGAAATGTTTGAAAATGTCAGCAATTTATGCCTAATAGACAGTTGAACAGCACCAGCATTTTCCTTTTTTGGTGGGAGATAGAACATAAACTTCCACACTGTAACTGTAAGAGATGTCTTTTTTGTTTTCCTTTTTACTAAATTGACAGAAAAAAACATCAGAAGGAAGATGTCATCTGGTAATTTTGAGCTTGAAATAAACAGTGCAATAAAGACTGGGGATGTGGTAATATGCTTGCTTAACATGCACAAGGCACTGGGATCAACAGTAATAAGGCAAGATAAAACATGCAAATAATAGCTTTTTTATTTTGATGTGTGGTCTCTTATAGTTCTGGTTATCCTAGAACTTACTATGTAACCAGGCCTTCTACTCAAAGAGTCCTACCTGCCTCTGCTTCCTGAATGCTGGGGTGCAAGGTACCATTTTATTTTTTACATGACAAGTTTACCATGAACTGGTCTTAGGATGTTAAAGCATCTACTTATTTGTTCACAAAAGACCTATTTGTCTTCCTGTTGTTTGAAGTGTTTTCTGCTGTTGCACACTTTCTATAACAGTCCTAGTATTAATCCAGACATTTTGGTACTCTGCAGCTTATCTTTAGACCATCCATCAGCTTTAACCAGAGCCTAAAACCAGACAGAACTATAGGGTTATAATTATGTTGGAAGATATGAAAGATGATAGTGGGATTAAGAAGGAATGTTTAAAAAAAGGGCTTTCGGGGATGGAGAAATGGCTCAGTGGTTAAGAGCGCTGTCTGTTCTTCCATTGGACTGGGGTTCAACTCCCAGCACCCACATGTCAGCTCACAACTGTCCATAAGCAGTTCCAGGTGGTCTGACACCCTAACGCCAATGCATATAAAATTAAATAAATTATTTTTAAAAAGGGGGGGGGGCTTTCATTTTGTTAGGAGAAAATAACTAGTACCAACTATTATTAAAAATTAATAAAAAAGCTTTGAAATAAGCATGGACATTATATTATCAGCTAGAGATACATCCTATTACTTTCATAGAAATCTTTTTTTCACTTGTTAGCCCTTTTAACTATTCTCCATAGCCTCAAATTTTGGCATAAATCAAAATAGCAGAAACACCGTACCCAAATCGACAAATCAGTATTTCAGGTTATGTCCAAAGTGATGAATGTAAAATGTTATGTGTACCAGCATTTAATATTTTAAAGGCAAACGTTTGGCTTGTTTTACAGAGCTTCGCTATGACCTGCCAGCATTGTACAACTTCCATAAAAAGAAATCAGTAAGTTTCCCAATTGTGGCCTCTGTACGTTCTGTATTTAAAAGCTTTGCAAGTCATTTCTAGTCTTACCAAGTTGCATGGGTAAATAAAAGTCAGCCTGAGAGAGTAAATTAATTATAGGAAGGGCCCATACTTACTGCAGTAAATATTCTAGTTGCAGTTCTTTATGAAAAGTTTTAAGAGCAAAAAGAAAAAGGAAGAAATCAACTGTTGGCTATTTTTATACAGTATATATTTTACAAGTCTGTACTAATACATTCTCATATTACAAAGGCAATTAAGAGGAAGAATCTTCCTTTTCATATTTGAATCATCCAAACACAAACAGAACTATACATTTTAAAAAACTTCCATTTGGATAACAACAAAAAGAAGACAAGTAAAATGAAATATTTTCCTTTTATACAGGTGGACATTGAAGTGGACCTAATTCGCTTTTCTTTTTAAAAGCTTCCGAAGACAAAAAGCAGCTTAAAATCTAACTAAGATGAATAAAAATGTTGCTTACTAAACTACTTGTCTCTAGCACCATTCTCTCTTTTCTTATGCTTTGATGCCGGTTCTTCTCTGTCTCTTCCATCTCTTGTTCTTTTCATTGGTCCTATACAATTGCAAATAATTTTTGTTAAATTCAATATAAAAATTGCTCTATTAATAGAGTACAATTATTAATAATAACTTCCCTTCAAGAAGAAAAATCTTTTCCATGAATACTGACTTTTTGATCTCTAAAGTCATCTTTCAACCAGCCTCTCACTTGTCAAACAGCAAAAACAAGGAAGCTGATACTAGTTCAAGAATATTACTTATGCAGAGAAAGTCTTGTTTCTGTCCACAAAGGACTTGGAAGAGGCTCACCTGAACCACGACGATGATGATGATGATCATCGTCATCATGGAATCTTGTCCTCCGTCCCTGAAACTGTCCTCTTCCTTTGGGTGCCCCAGCATAGGGAGGCCTATTTCCCCTTCCTTTTCCTTTATTAAATCTGCGGCCTATACAAACATGATTGAGAACTTAATCAAAAATGTTCAGTGTGCTGAAAACCAAGATTTTTTTTTTTTACTCAAGTAAAGATGAGATAAAACAACCAACTATTAGTGAAAAGTGAAAATAATGACCTCCTCCTTTTGACTTCCATTTGTTTAGGGATTCTTGCTGATCCTCCATGATTTTTTTCATTGCTTCTTTTTCCACATGTCCATCTAGCACTTTCCAAGTCACCTTTTTGTTTCTTAACTGTAGGTTACCGTTATGTGCACTTCTGGCTCTGTCAAGTGCTTCCTTAGCTTTTTCTTTAAAGAGAATTATTCCCTATACATCAAAATGAAAAATTAATGTTGCACTCTTCAGTTTGTAGCCCGACAATTCCTTTTCTCCTTTCCACACAACTACAATATCTGGTATTGTTATTTTCAATGCATTTTAATGACTATTTGGAAGGAATGCTTTAAAAGTAAACTTCAATCACCAATACCAAGTTATTTATGAACAAAAATCAGATCTCTTTTTGGCTTATCAGTAGGCTGGGGTATCATGGCTTTTCATGATATGTGCCTCCTACAAACTTGTTTCAATGTCGGCATATTACCCATCTAACATGGGGGGAAAGAAGACATTGCATCCAGGAAAAGGACTAAAGACAAAAGTAAATGACTAAGTAGGAGCTATTTTAATCAACATGCTGTATAAACAAACTACTTTCTAAATATTAAAAAAAAAAAAGGCTGTTTCCTAGTAATTTTTTCTTATAACAGATAACACTCTATAGACTTATAAACTGATTGCTAATAAGGACACAGATATTTCCAAACCTCTTTTGCTCCTCTGACAAAGTCAATCCATTTTATTTCCCCATGATTTGAGAAAAGCATGTGTAAATCTTCTCTACAGGTCTGGTCGTCCAAGTCACCTGAAAACTTCAGTAAGCACCCCATCTTTCCTTCTAGAGCTCTCTATAAAAATATACAAGGCCATCAAATGATTTTAAGTGCAACTTCACAAAATGGCACACGCCATTCTATACCTACGTAAGGAAAAAGAGACATCAGTACTTTTTAAAATGAAGTTATTAGTTTTACAATGCCTTACTGTTTTACAATGGTTTTGCTTTAGTTCCTTCTATAGGTGGCAGTTCAACATAACTGCCAATAAGTATAATAATCCCGGATAATACTATTTATGCACCACTAATGCAGTGAACTTCTAGAGTCACTTACACTCTCTAAGAAGTCTTCACACATTTATTCTAGCAAGGCATAATGGTATATGCCTTTCCTTAATCCCAGCAACTGGGAGGCAGAAGTAGGTGGATCTCTCCAAGATTTTGGCCTAACTGATCTACATAGGCAATCCTAAGACAGCCAGATAACATGCTGAACACCTTATGTCTACATAAATAAATAGAAACCTAGGGGCCAGCAAGACTGGTCACAGGTAAAGGTGCATGTGGCCAAAACAGCGACCTAAGTGCAATGCCTGGATCCACAGTGGCCTCTCATCTGTACACAACAGCAGTGGCATGCGACCGTGAACACAACATACATGGACTCTAACTTCAGAAAGAACTTAAATTATCGTGTCTTTAGTCTACTTACTGTGTCAGTACTTCCTGACTTGTGTCTTCCTTCATGTTCTCTAAAAATAAATGTGTTGTGATTATAATGTGTTTATACTTAACTACATAACCTTGACCAATATCACCAACCCACTTAATCAAAGCAAATCCTTTGATTATTTTTGATCATACAACAATATAGCCTCTAGGTTATCATGAGGCCAACGTTTCATTACTAATAAAGACAGACCCATTACCACACACTCCAAAGCTCATCATCAGCTCATCCCAGAACTAAACTTGTCAAAGCATTAACTTAAATGTCACAAAGAATTCAGCACACTTACTGTTTAGCTTTTAATTTAGCTTCCACTTTGCTCTGCTTTCTTTCTTCATTTTTTTTTGCAAAGTAATCTTCCCTGAAGAATATAAAACACAGTCTAAGCTCGCAAAGACAGAAGACTGAAAACCACTTTTTTCCTTGTTTTTCTTTTTTAAGATTATGTTTCTCTATATAGCCTTGGTGATTCTAGAGCTCGCTCTGTAGACCAGGCTGGCCTTGAACTCACAGAGATCCACCTGCCTCTGCCTACTGAGTGCTCATTTTAAAGGTGTGTACCATCACAACCCTGACTGTCTTCACCTTTTAAAAAGTTTTTATTTATGTGTATAGGTGTATACCTGTATATCACATGCATGTCTGGTACCTGAGACCTAAAGAGGGGGTTATACCCCTAAAGACTAGAGTTATGGGCAATTGAAAGCTGTTATGGGGTGCTGAAAATTGAATTTGGGTCCTTTGGAAAAACAGCCAGTACTTAATCTTTAATGCATGTCTCCAGCCCACCATCCTAACTTGTGTTTTAACATACAAGAATGTGGTCAAATCCTCAAACCTTTATACTGTTATGTTAAAAACATGTTTATACAAAACAAAAAACCAAACATAAGAACCAGACATTCTGATTATCTATTTTTGCTTGATTACACACCTCCAGGCACCAACAATAAATTAGCTTAGAAGGGTTCTAAAAACCCCTTTCCATTATAATTACCACTCAACAGACACCAGTTCGGAGCATACTGAAGGTAATATTAACTGTACATGGGATGCTGTTTATATCATATCCATTTTATCAATTCCAAATAATTTTGTGGCCTGAGAGACATAAGTGAAAAGACTTACTTAAAGAGTATTAGCAGGTTTGTGTCTTTGTACTTCTGGCCAGGAGTTTCCACAAACTTCTTTGCAGACTGAATACTATCAAACACAGCAAATATTGACCCCTACAAAAGGACAGAATAAGATTTTCTCTAAAGCGGTATTTCACAACTAGAAAGTCTATATCAAATAATCATACCTTAAATGTTTTGTGCAATGTTCTTCTCATCTGAATATTTAGTATTTGGCCTTTATCATCTAGCCACTCTTTTATATCATCAAGGGTTGCATCAGTTGGGAAGCCTTTCTGTAAAAAGTGAAAAAAGAAGTACAAATAATGACTCTTGGGTAAACAACTCTCGCAGAATAAGCTCATTTATTTTGTCTCAAAAGGATGCCAGATCTAAGTATCTTTTTCTCCCCTCTCTTAATTGTTTAATAACCTTATTCTCGAGTGCAATAGGTGATTCACCTGAGATTTGCTCCAAAATAACTCAGCTGCAGCAGAGACAAAGCATTATTTACATGTTAAGAACTACTCAAGTTTGGCAATGGTACTTCACACTACTCAGTCTACTTTCTTATGTTTAAAGCTTTCCATTATGTATTTAGAAATTAATATGCTAGTGAAAATCACTACAGAATTCAGCTATTACTATAAAATTACTATAGAATCCCAGCATTAGGGGAGGCAGAGACAGGCAGATCACTGTGAGTCTGAGGTCAGCCTGTTCTACAAAGCAAATCCAGGACAACCACAGCTACACAGAGAAACTGTCTCAAAAAAACAACCAACAAAAAAGCAGGATGTGATGGTTCATGCTCTTTAATCTGGCCCTTGAGGGGCAGAGGCAAGCTGATCTCTGTGAGTTTGAAGGTAGCCTGATCTACATAATAATTTCCCAGGGATAGACAGGGTTTTACATGTGAGTTAACAATATAACATTAACAATGATAAAGCTTAAAAGTACATATGCTTCAATACACATTAAAAAATGAAAAAGAATAAACATATAGTAATTGGCCAAATGTGGTTAGTGAGCCTTTATCCTTTCACTGTATGTATTTTCCTTCTAAATAAAGGTAATATGAAATGCACTGAAGACCCACTTACAATATAAACAGATCTGTTTTTTACATCATTCTTATACTCATCCGTCACTTCAGGGAGGGGTCTGCTTGGAGATCTTCTGATTTTAGTTTTGTCTGCACTCACTTCCATGAGTTTTGCCTTAGATTTGCTTAGTGCTTGCACGATTACATTAAAGTCTGTTGTCAGCCGGTTTAGCCTAAAGAGTACAGACATAAAAAATTATAAAAGCAGATTTAGTAGTAGCAGCTCTTAACAGTAACAGAAAACTTAGATGACTTTTTGCAGATTTTTGGATCAGCCCCCAAAATAGTGTAGTTCAATGACAACACATGTGTAAGTTCCTGGGTATTATCCCCCGAAATGGAAACAAACCACCAAAAAAATTCTTACCTGTTGAATTTTATCATTATTTCCAAAGGTACCCAGCCTTCATCCAATTTGATCTGTTCTTTTAAAAATTTGTCTCGTGGCAAATTGAAGTCTCCAAAATAATACTGTGAATAATTATAATGTATTTCATAAGTTAGAGCATTGTGTAGCACTGAGTTCAATCATGAAATTTTTTGAAAACTACTTTTTTACACCTTAAAAAGTATGTTAAAACTTAAAAGACCTTAGAAACATTTTCTCCTAATAGACCATAATAAAGTACATATAACACAAATAGAATACTAAAATGTTAGTGAACCAGTTTAATAA